ATGGAAATTAAAAGAAATATGGTAATGACGGAAAATGACTATCTATGTGATGGTAGGTACTTCTCTTTCAGGATATTTCTCCCGATACATTCTAACCCCGGCAAAGCTATTTTTACTTGCTAAAATGTACCTACACTTCTTACATATAAACTTTTCATTATGAGTAAACAACAATAATAATTCAATAATAGCAACTGACAGTTGTAATAACAACATAAACAGTGCTATTTTTCGGGGAGAGCACCCTAAAATCTAATCCTTATTTAACTTGTTTCGTCCATGGCACACTTATTTCAGCTGTAATGAAATAATCGCATTTTCTCATAACAATTGTTTTATAACTATATCACGAATTCTGAATAAAATTCTGTTACGAATAAGGAAATATAAAAATATAGTTCCATTTAAAATACCAATATGGTTGGTATTCACAGTTTGAGAAACACTGGTTGCCAAAAATTTGTTTTGAGCCCATTAATAGTCTTGTGATCGACCTGGTAGCTCTTAATAGTTCTCGAGATGGCAATCGTGCACAATGTACAGTGCGTTCGAGATAAGCTTACTAGCTCTTTTATTGGACGATATACGAAAACATTGTAGTGACTAGTGACAAGAGCGTAATAGGACAGGTATCGACATCCTGACAACGCACGGTATGCTAGATTTCATGTTTTCTAAATATAATCACGGATTTCTCCATTTTTTTTGGTATACCAATCAGTCGTATGTATATTGTATGTTGTCGTACAGTAAATCGATTGCTCTTTTCAATTATAACTTATAAAAAATTTGAAAAACAAAAGTTGCATCGACTTCCGGTTTAACCGGAAGTGATACCGGGCATTTCAATCGGATAGTTCGTAAGGTCACATAAAATTATATTGATAATTTTTTTGTATCTTACCAAATAAAAGAGCAACCCTCTAATGTCGAACACACTGTATAGTTTTAATAAGGAAGTGCATGATGCTGTTTTGAATTAAACATTATAAAAAGTTGATGCATTTAAATACCGGGTGATTCTATAGAAGTGCTGATCGTTTGAATTTGCCGCAAATCAAAACACCTTTGAAGTGGTGCTAACCAATGATCATTTACTATTACAGTGGTAGGTATACCATGCAATGCGCCATGCAAGAGTTATAAAATAGAAAACCATGTTAATCTTCCTTTCAGAACGTATAGTCACTTAAAAAATGTGTACCTACCCTTTAAATTTCAACTAAAGTGATCCCACTTGTAGTATTAACGCGAACGATGCACCAAAGAAGTAGCTCCAACATTTAATTCTTAATCCATCTGCAGTGGACCACTTTCGCAAGTGATGCGGTATTAAGGAAAGCAATCTGAAAAGTAATGAAACGGAGTGAGTGCGAGCGCTGTTTTTTTAATTTCCGGCAAGCTTTCAAGAATATAAAGAAATGCCAAGTCGGTACCAAAAAGATTGCACAATCAAAGTTACTTATTTGTTTAATGTAAGTAACCAGTTTGAGAAATCTGTGAACCTATACGCTGTGCAATGCCCTCTTCATAAAATGCTGCTGCCATCCTGCCAATGATTTGAAGTGAGCTCTGGCGGTCTCTTTGATCTCCTGGGCAGTTTGTAAAAGCTGCTCCCCGATCCCCTTCTTCAGTTCAACTAAATGATGGAAGGCGCTAGGTCGGAACTACCTATATATGGTGGATGCTCGTTGAAATGCCTCACATTGCGGTGATTGTTGTCCCTAGCTACATATAGGTTCAAGAAGCAACACACCTATTTCCCAGTACCAAAACCATACCTACATGGGTGAAGATTTGAATTTTTTCGGTTTGGAAAATATGTGTGAATCTATTCTTGTGATCGTCATTTGAGGCGTTTCATAGACTCCCTGTCGTATTAGCTGGATGGATTTAAAAATCCATATATTATGTTCGAATTTACCTTTCGTACTTTTACGTCCAAGGTAAAAATGGTTTAAGGCCAGGACAGAATTCAATAGATTTTTCTTGCACTCATAATGGCATTAATAGTGAAAACTTTGTAATCAAAATTTGGAAAAAAACTAACCCAAAATGACTGATTCCATCGTTTTTTAAACGTGTTGTATAATGAGGAGGGGTTTAAAGAAAATCTTTTTAACACGTTTTTTATAGCCGAAACAGACAAATAAAAAAACGTGTTAAAAAGATTTTCTTTAAACCCCTCCTCATAACCCAAAATGATTAGTAGGTAGATATTTAGGAGTTTAACGCTCCAGGATATTTTAGAGAATTTACAAAACCAGCAATTTGGCGTAGGTACCTATATAACTTTTCCCCCTTTGTGAGAAGTAATAACTGTCATAAAAATTACACAATATTTCCTCAGATTACATTTATTTTAATAAATACCTACATAAATCAAACAAATTCCTACAATCACTCTAAAAAGAGAGAAAACCTAATTACAACTGAAATTAAATCTTCCTCCTGACCAATTAACTAAACCTACCTTACTTAATGCAAGATCAACGGAAATAATAAAAGTTATAAAACAGTCCGTACCTTTCTTCATTGAAGTTTATTAACGTTGTATTGGGCGCTTGATCGGATTGAGTTGCAGGATGCCAACGGCGTGGACACCAACGCAGGGTTGCTGCTCGTTCTCTTTTTCCAGAAATCAACTTCACGTAGAGGTGTTGGAATATGAACATTAGAAAAGTTCACCAAAATGTTTCGATTCTCGTACCGATTACCCAATCTTCATTACGAAACAAACGCAGGCGGAAAAAATACAAATAGGCAATCTACAGAACAAAACGCTGCTTTATTAAATGCCCATTTACCAATAGAAATTTCACACTGTGATATTTTGTTTATTTTACCTAAGTATTGGACTGTATTTTAACATGACCCCTTATTATTTTATTTATAGGGGTAAATTGCTCTGTTAGTAGCTGCACTGTTTATAGTACCAATATGTTTGACGACACTATGATACTATGATAGCTGGAATATTATACATATTATTTAGATATTCGTTTTCCTTAATGTGATTAACGTGATTTAATAAAAGACATTATTATTATTATATGAAGAATAAAGATACACAGAGACACATAAAAAATGTTCCCCAAAATCTGACCAGCCGAGCTTTTTAGTCACAGGCGCACACACACAGAAGAATTTATAAGATATTCAAAAAAGTGGTTCCCAGTAGCTTCCAAAATTAGTAAGGTATTTTGATTTGTTTATTAGCAAAAAAAGGGATGAAAAACTCAATACGCTACCCCATACTTAAGAAGTATTTCATAAAGATAATCAAAACTCACGCTTCCCACGTGGAATATAAACACGTTTGATACGAATGGAGCACATACAACCGCACTTGCCTGCGATTCATTTTCAAATGAATAACGTACATGCTACATGATAAACAGAAACAGGTTACCTAATCACATGCCTACCTTATATACGAGTAGGTAGTTAGTCATAGGGATTTTGTATTGTTTTTTCCTATGTCTATGTACTTTTAAATGATAAAATCTGTTTTGAAGGACGCCTAATCTATGCAACCAAAATAACTTCTTAAAACAAGTATAAAGATCTGGCTGTCATATAAATTAATTTGAATATTGTTGCTTTGGCTTCACAGAAAATAAATCTCTTGCGCTGCTTATACTTTTACCGGCACTATACCTACCAATTGACAGTATCAACTTTTGCTTCATTGCGTACACGAACGAAAATAAAATAAGCCAAAGCAACAATATTCAAATTAATTAATAGGACAGTCAGATATTTATTTGTTTAAGATGTTTTTTGATTTTATAAAATTAGGCGCTCCTCAGAAGAGAGAGAAAAATGTTAAGTACACGTAAATCCCTATGTCTGCGTTCGTCCGTCCATCACACTCACACATACTACTTTTACACGACTGGACCGATTTGGGATTTGCAAAAAGTATTTGAAAACTTGATATTATACGTAGTAGAATAAGTTATTTTACAATTGGCAATGTATTTGTTGATACATTTAATTTAACTATGGGAAAAACTGACACGTACTACTTGTGTGAAACTTAACAACGTCGACGATAGCTCGCCGTTTATTTGATAGAGAATGGGGCAAGGATCTTGTGCCTACCGGTATTTTTTCCCGGTCCCAGCATTGCCATTATTAGGAGGAAAATAAGCTTGCGTCATTTATGTTTGCATAATGACTTTTTAACTTGTTTCTATAATTTACGCTACTGCTGGTACCTACGCAATCAGAAGCTATTAAAGTACACGATTATTACCGACCACGTGACGTCACCTGCGCGCCTCGAGATATTCTTTCTCCGTGGCAGCTGTAAATATAAATTTTTTAACGTAACGTAACGTAATTTATCAATACCCCACTATAACTTATAAGATAACAATTACTCACATTGACCAGCCATTTAGGATGATACAGTGCTATTCATTTAGAAGTAGACAGTTCTTATACATTTCAAAATCAAATAGGTACATAGATATAGCACCAGGGATGGTGATCTCGTGAGGAGTCAGTACCCCATCAGTTTGCAACGTAGCAGATACGGAGAAAATTTAAATTAAGTTCTCCATACCCATGCAACCCCATACACCACAACTTTTACGTTAAAATTAAACTCAAACGATAATAAATTCCTTAACTTAATAATGATCGATGATTCCCTAAAAGTAGAATTATACAGGGTATTACATATAATACATTAAAAAAAAATTGGGTGGTAGAGGACACAATCACTTTTTCCAAATAAACCGAGAGTCCAACGTATTTCGTTTGGGAGCCACCCCCACAAAAGTAGTGAAATTTACATTTCTTCTTTAGTTTTTTCTCAGCAACCATAAGAGTTAGAGTCACTATTCATCTACAATTAATGAATGGGTCATTCTCCAGAAATGGCAAAATAAGGTTTTCGAAAAAAAAAACTTTTTTTTTTCTAAAATATCAACCATTTTCAAGGAGGTGTTGAATATACAGTTTTCCAATTTAGAAACATAGTTGGTCCAGATCGATTGCTCAGCTTTTCCAAAAAATACCTATTTTTCAAACCTTAATTTCACGGAGTTGAGGAGAGGTATCACGGAGTTGAGAAAAATCTGTATTTAAACGTAAAAAAATGCAGTATATATATTTTGAAAAAGAAGAGCTACATGGAAAATTAAGAAAACTTATATTTCAAAAGGTTGTTGGGAAATGAATATCGACCCCGATGAATTGACGGTTTACCAAGAACTTCGATTACATCCCTCAGTTCCATCACAGCTCTGTCCTCTTTGTTTGGAAATACAAACTTGCCGCCAACTGCTGTTCTCATAAAGAACACACCAAATTCATTTTCATTTTCTACTGCTTCAATGTAAGCTATATAGAACTTCATATTCTTTTTCCCTACGAATTAATAAGGTTAGAAATACACACTATTTAAGAATTTGTCAAGTTAGGTACCTTGTAGCTGTACCACAACATAGTCACCGACATCAAGATCACTGAAATTGTGGATTATTGTCTCAGTATCTTGGTGACATTCAGAACTAGCACTAGATGTTTCATTATCGCTGTCAATTTTTCGATCCAAATCCATCTCTAATAATTGCAATGCTGTGATAATGTTAAGAAAACACAATTTAGTGGACTTATAGATAGCTGAAAATTTTAAAATGAAAAGGATACGTGATGGTTTCGAAAGTTGTATGGTGCCCAGACCGTAGTGAATACAGATTTCATCTGGCTTACATTCTAAGCAGGAAAGTTCACGTGCTTGTATCATAAAGGGCTTTTGAGAAGACCACGTAAGCTCATGAACTTTCATTGTTCCTTTAAAAGTGCAGAGATTTTTTGGTACAATAGCGTCGATATCAGTAATCTTTTGACTGGGTACGGAATATATTCGGATGTTTCTTGTATTTTCTTTCAACTCTGTAACTAGAGTCCCAAAATCAGAGATATCATTGCCTCTACCAACCAAGACGTCGGCAGTTCGTTTCAAGCAGCCACCTACGCCATCGGGTGCTCCCTTTCCATGCCCTTTTTCACTGAAATGCCATCGAAAGGTCCGAATTCCCAACATTTTCGCAACGAACCCTACCATCAAATGAAACATTTTTTTGTTACGATATTGTGTGGACGGTCCGTCGCTTAGGAAATTCGCATGTCGGATGTTTGGTACCAGCTCCTTGATATCTTCTAGCAATGGTTCGAGGTGGGCACAGATTGCCGACGGGTCATGTCGCAGATCTTCACAAAATGTACAACATGATAAAGGTTTAAGTTGAGATTGTTCATTTCTATAATATATTACAATCGTATGTAGAGATATTTGGGGCTTCGAACCACCAAAATGCGCAGACTGTACTTCCTCGCCGTATTTACAATTATAGTTTTCGCTGAAATCCATGTGCAAAAGAACTTCGTCATTTTTGAGCTCTGTTTTAATTTTATCAATAACTTGATATTGGTGCTGAATATTCCTGACATGGAGGAAAAAAGAATCGATGCAATCCTCAAGCGCTAGCAGCATTTCTCCTTTTGTAGTTTTCACAGTTTCCTTTAATGTTTTTTGACAAATCTTATCTTCTCCTTTTATGGTGACGTTAACTCTTTTCGATATCCAACGACAATATTCTGCTGGTTCTGTGATGAGAAAACTGCTATCCATTCTGTTTATTTTTGTGCCTTTGCAATCCGGGCATTTTCTTTCAAGACAAGGTTCTTTGGGGATTTCGGATTCTGACTTGCAACACAAGCTTCTGATTACATCCTTCTCAGACGATTCATTGATTATGTTTAGTTGTTTCAGTTTCCTCACAAGTAATGACATGTTAGCATGAGTGGAACACAGACACGTTTCCCTGCATCTCGCGTTATAGGAATCAATACCCAGAACGGGCGGAGTTTGCAGAAGCTGGCATAACTGATCTTAAGATTAGAATGGGCAGCAAGGAACTTCTTGTGTAGATTCATAAGCGAGTCATTGAGATATCTCTTTTGTTTCTTACATTTCCTGAATGTTACTGTATCCTTTTTTCCTGGACACATCCTGCTGTTCTCGTCCATTTCAAGAAAATCTGTTATACGTAAATCCTGAAACGTTTCAGTAATTCTTTCTTTTTAGAAGGCAGTGGTATTGATTTTTTGTAGATTTTTCGTGAATATGATAGGTTTCTGATATACTGCATACATTTGTGTTTTTTGACAATTTTGCCAGACAAATTTGCAACAAAATTTGCTTTATCACGACTGTTTTCTAAATTGGCCAAATTGTTCTTAATCTGAGAAGTGATTACCTCGCCTACTAGCAGTCTCTTTTTCACTTCATTAGAGACGGTTTGATTCCCTATAATCAACTTCACATTCTTTTCGGGCGTTGCCAGCGTTAGCCAATGGCTAGGGTAGGTTGGGGAGAGCTAATACACCACCACTCCAAGGTCACCACACGTTCAAGGTCAAGGTCATGATACTTCAAGGTCGAGGTCATGGTTACTTCAAGATTACCACACATTCAAGGTCTAGGTGATTACCACTCCTCAAGTACTGTACAGTTAAATGGGTCACCCATCATCAGGATACAAAAACACAAGTAATTTTTAACATAACTATTTATTTTTTAAGATACAGAGCTCATACTGTAAAAAATACAGATATACTGATTTGGTAGCACTGCAATGAAAAAGGGGGAGATCGAAACATAAATGGAAATTAAGTAAAACATTTCTTAACTCCATTATTGAATATATTTACATACTTACAAATTAAAATTGTTTATTATATATACAAAGCCAATTACTAACTACATCTCGATATCTACGAATATATTCCCTACAAGATTCAGATAAACTAACCCTATTCCAATATGTGGTGTTATGTAATTCTAAATATCTAAAGCTAACATCCTTAAAATAATCACTATTAAATAAATCAATATTATGACTAACTATATTTAGACTATCTATTAAACTACTTACAAGAGTTTTACTTAAAATTAAATCACTAGTTATTTCGTCTATTAATTCCACTACAGTGTCTTTGGCCTCCTCTTCAAACTTAACCAGATCAATGTCCGCTAGTTTATCATGTTTCCACTTCAACTCAGCTTGGACAATGACCGGTAAGTTGTCCCATTCCAAATGTCTGGGTAAGATTTTCTTTATGCATAGGTTATACAATGTATCACAATGCGTATCACAATGTGTAACACGTTTCCGCATACCTTGCATAATGTCCATGAATCTTCCCAGCTTAAATGTCCAATCATTGGAAAAGGACAGTCGCATAGACTCGAAGAAGTTGGAGACCAATAACAACTCTTCAAAATCAATATTATGGTGATCACTTAATTGATCTAAAGCGTCTTCACTTAAACTTAACCCCCATGCACTAATTATATCAGCCATTATACTCAAAGTTTGAAACGATTTATACACTGTAAGAATCGGGCGCGAACTGCTACGGTATACTATAGCATTATCTTTCGTTATATATCCAAATACCCCACTACTTGTCTGAGAGAGGTCACGAGAGGTCATTGACCTTGACCTTGACCTTGAACCAGGGGGGCTCCGCCCCCCCTGGACCCCCCCGGGACTCTCGCTTTCCACAAATCTCTCGCTTTATACTGATCTCTCGCCTTATATTGATCTCTCGCCTTATATTGATCTCTCGCTTTATATTGATCTCTCGCTTTATATTAATCTCTCGCTTTATATTAATCTCTCGCTTTATATTAATCTCTCGCTTTACCGAGGTCTCTCGCTTTATATTGATCACTCGCATAATCCCGATCTCTCGCTTAACCCAGTCTCTCGCTCTCAACACCTGCATTTACACTTCATTTCCATTTCTTACCTTTGTACCGGTAATAATGTCTCGCATTTTATCCAATTTCGCTATGTGTGGTGAATATACCGATTGTGTTACAGTGCAAAGTAGTGGTGCAATAGTGGGTGCTAGTGCCCCGAAAGTTAATATCCTTCAAAATGTGGTGGTTCGTGCTGCTAAGTCAACACGTCCATCCATTTTACGTGCATTATTGTCACGAGAGTCCATGGGGCAGAGCACACAAGTAGCTGAAGAGGGTTGTCACCCAATAGCACTTCCTTTACCTCCAATCCGCGATGATTCTTCTGCTAATGATTATAAGGACTTCCCGGAGACCTTAGAATGGTTAGTTGAGAGAACCCTATCGCCATCAAACATTTCTACTAAACCCCTTAATTTAGCAGAAATTTTTGATAACATAACACCTACACAGGATATAGTTAAGGTAAGTGATGTAGCAGAGCCTTTAGTAGTGTCTGATGCGGATTGTATTGTTATTTCAGATGATGAATGTTGTGCACATGCATCATCTGAAGTAACGATACCGTCCGTATCTATTACCTCTAAGGAAGTGTCATCATTTATTCTTGATGAGAATTGCATTGCAGCGCTCAATGAAGAGTGGTCGACCGCTTCTTCATTGAATGCTGCACTGGATATAGTAAAGATAAGTGATGTTGCAGAGCCTTTAGTAGTATCCGATGTGGATCGTATTGTTATTTCAGAAGATGCATGTACACATCATGTATCATCTGAAGCAACGATACCATCCGTTTCTATTACCTCTGAGGAATTGCCATCATTTATTCTTGATGAGAATTGCATTGCAGCATTCAATGAAGAGTGGACGACCACTCCTTCACTGAATGCTACAATGCAATCCTCTTCTGTAATGAATTTTCCTCCCCCACCTTATTCCGAAGATGATGCCGTGAAATATATTGCACCGCTACTCCCCATGGCTCCAAACAACGAAAAAAATATACGTCAACTATATCAGCTAGGCTGTGATTATATTTATGCCAATAATGCACGTTTGACAAAACGCCCTGGTTCAGACGCCTATTGGCGTCTGAATTCCAGGGTGTCGAAGATCGGTAGGATGAAGGGTGCACTAGCACATCGATTATTTAAAAATACAAACTATAATCAAAATTTTAAGTTTGCATTAAAAAATAATATTAACATGGATCAACTAAATATATTGTTTCGGATAAATAAATATTAGATTCTTTCCACTTTCCCCATTTACACCCATCCCTCTTTCCCTTTTTTCCTGACGACGATGCTATGTTGGGTTCCCGTCCCGTCGTTGAACAATGCGAAAATATTTTGACATCTAAATTTTATTTTACTTATTTTGGCAACGGAAAGCATTGACTGAAACATAGCTCTTTTGTTCATCTTTTTCTTATTTCCGTGTTATGCAACCGTATATAAATTGAACTTGTATAAAAGCAGGTGCCTTTATAAAAGGTTGCATAGTACATCTTATTACAGTGGTGAAATGATTACCTGCACAGCGTGTGATAAAATTTTTTCACGAACTGATGCATTAATACGTCATAAACGTCACCATTGTGTCAATCGTAATTTGAATCCACACGATGAAGAAAAACCATCTTGTTCTGGGGTGAGAAAGACCAAACGTTGTAAAATTGATTCACCTAGTGAAAGCAGTACCAATGAAGAAAAACCATCTTGTTCTGGGGTGACAGGGGCCAAACGTTGTAAAATTGATTCACCTGGTGAAAGCGGCAGCAATAACGACAACAGTAATAGCGGTAATAATATTTTCTGTAAAGAGTGTTTGGAATATGTACCCCGTCGAAATTACCAAGGACATTTGCGCAGCAATAAACACAAAAATAATGTCTGCTTCGCCGTCGATGATGGTGTTCATGTGATTCGATGCGCCTTTAAAAATAGATTAATCAGCTACCGCATGTCTCCAACCGAAACTCATGTTAATGTTTCTGATTTTATGAATGATATAAAAGCGAAAATTGTAAAAGTGATTAATGATCAGTTAAAAAGACACAACCCTTTAAAAATTAACTTTGAATTATTTGGCGCATATTACTTGGATACGAAGAATATCACCGATATCAAGTCTTTCCAATCAAAATACCAAGTAATCACAATTTCCGATCCCATTGAAGATCTTTTTCAATCTTTATCTGAAATTGTGGATCGAAAAAATTCTGAATTTCAACAAAAGGATTCTGGTAAGTTAAAGATGGTGTATTAATATATTACTAATTTTTGTTTGTTACAGGATGGACTTTGGTTCAACTATTGTATCTGGAAATTAACATTCTTAAATTCAACGCACTTCGGGCATCTTCCTATATACCATTACCACCGTTCATCTCAAACAAGAAGGCTGTTCTGAACATACAAAACAATGATGAATACTGCTTTGCATACTCTTTGGTTGCTGCATTATTTAATCCTAAAGGTTCACCCCAATTACCCTCATCGTATCCCAACTTCAGGGATGTTTTCAACTGGAATGGTGTCCAATTTCCTGTATCTATGAAGCAAATTTCAACGTTTGAAGCTAACAACATCAACATTTCGATTAACGTTTATGGTGTAGAAAAAATACTGAAAGATGGAACAACTTCATATGAAATTGTTGGTCCTTTATACTACAGTAAGTTAAAAAAACAGCATCATATTAATTTGTTGTATATTAGTAATGACATGGGTAATCAGCATTATTGTTTAATTAAAGATTTTTCAAAATTAGTCAGCAAACAATTAAGTAATAGTAATGGTAAAAAATTTTTTTGCGATGCTTGTATCCATTACTTCCGGACAGAGAACGCTCTGAAACGCCACACAGAAAGAGATTGCAATCAAGTTTATACCAAATTACCGAGTACTAATCCTAAGGTTGATAAAACTGGGAACATCTGTCCCGAAAATATTTTAACCTTTAATAATTATCATAAACAAATACGTCATCCGTTTGTAGTATATGCAGATTTTGAATCAATGATAGTACCCATTCAAACAGTTGAACCTAACCCTCTTCAATCGTTTTCAATACAAACCCAGAAACATGAACCATATTCGTGGTGTTATTACATTAAGTCCACATATAATGATGAATGGTCTATCCTTCGACAATATCGCGGCGTAGATGCCGCTACTAAATTTATAGACAGTTTAGAAAATGATATTAAGGAAATCTATCATAAACATCTAAAAAATCAAGTACCAATGCAACCATTATCGAAAAATGAGAAAAAAAGTTATGATGATAGCACAACTTGTTTCATTTGTGGAAATGAGTTTGTCAGTGGTTCTGAAAATGTTAAAGTAAGAGATCATTGTCACGTTACCGGTAAATATCGCGGAAGTGCTCATTCCCGGTGCAATTTAAATTTTAAGCTTCAAAATTATATACCAATATTTTTTCACAATTTAAGTGGATATGATTCTCATTTATTTATTAAGCATTTAGGTAACAAAACCGATGAAATTAATGTTCTCCCTCTTAGCACTGAAAATTATATAACTTTTAGCAAACACCTCTTTGTAGATGAAATTGAAGTGAATGGAAAAAAAGAAAAAAAATTTATAAACTTGCGATTTCTCGATAGCTTCAAATTTTTATCGTCATCCCTTGACGTTCTTTCTAGAAATTTAGCAGATGATCAATGCTCTGAAATAAGAAAATTTTTTAATTGTGATGAAGAATTTAAGCTTTTACGAATGAAAGGGTGCTTCCCATATTCATACGTAGATTGTCTTGAGAAACTTGATGAAAAAAATATACCACCTTATGATCAATTTTATGATATTATGAGGGGGGAAAATATCTCATTGGAGGAGTATGATCGAGTGTTAAATGTATATAATGTATTCCATTGTAAAAATTTAGGAGAATACTCGGATATTTATTTAAAGTGTGATGTGTTATTATTAGCTGATGTATTTGAAAACTTTAGAGACCTGTGTATGAAAATTTATGGATTAGATTCCGCGCACTATTTTACTGCTCCTGGATTAACTTGGGACGCAATGTTAAAATATTCCAAAGTGCGATTAGAGTTACTCACAGATATGGATATGTACCATTTCTTCAAAAAAGGTATCCGAGGTGGTGTGAGCACCTGTATTACAAGAAAAAGTGTTGCCAATAATGAACATCTTATGGATTACGATCCCCAACATTTAAAAAGTTTTATTCAGTATTTAGATGTTACAAATCTTTATGGATCAGCAATGCGGGAATATTTACCACATTCTGGGTTTACATGGTTAAGTGAAACAGAAATTCAAAATTTTAACTTGTTTGATGTTGGTGATGAGGATGATTTGGGTTATATATTAGAAGTAGACCTACAGTACCCTCAGTCTTTGCATTCCTTACACAATGATCTTCCATTCTGCCCAGAGAACATTGTACCTCCAAATTCTAGACAAAAAAAATTAATCCCCAATCTTTTTGATAAAAGAAATTATGTTATCCACTACAGAAATTTAAAGCAAGCTTTAGATCACGGTTTAGTATTAAAACAAATCCATCGCATATTAAAGTTTCATCAAAGTCCTTGGTTAAGAGGGTACATTGATTTAAATACAAAAATGCGCAACAACTCTCCTAGTAAGTTTGAAAAAGATTTTTTCAAGCTAATGAACAATGGCGTCTTCGGAAAGACAATGGAAAATGTAGATAGACGAAAAATAATAAAGTTGCTAACTCACTGGGAGAATTTCGGTAAACGTTTGGGAATGGAGAGCTATGTGGCGAAGGTCAATTTTAAAAGATTTGTTCAATTTAGTGAAAAATTATTTGCTGTAGAAATGGGTAAATTATCAGTGCTTTATGATAAGCCCGTATATGTAGGTTTCACCATATTAGATATTTCCAAAATTGTTATATACAGGTTCTTTTATGATGTCTTACGTGCTCAATACGGTAGTAATGTTTCCTTGCTTTATACGGACACTGATTCATTGATTATTGCAGTTCAAACTGATGATTTATATCAACATATGAGAGAAAATTTACACGAATATGACACGTCAAATTATGTTAATAATCTACATGGGGTACCAACTTCAATTTCTGTTATTGGAAAGATGAAGGATGAATATGCAGGAAAAGCAATTAAATGTTTCTATGGTGCTGGCGCCAAAGCTTATTGTGTTAAACTTGCAGATGATAAGCTAGTGAAGAAAGCAAAGGGTGTAAAGAAAATCGTAATCAAAAAAGTACTTACGGAATTTGACTATAAAAATGCTGCTCAGCAGGAAAGCAAAAGTATATTTTGCAAAATGTTTACATTTCGATCCACTTTACATGATATATACACTGTGCTCATTAATAAAATTTCACTTTCTTCAAAAGATGATAAAAGGTTTATTATCCCAAATACTTGCAAAACTTTGGCTTGGGGACATTTTCAAATTCAACAATATGCAACTCTTGATGAAAGCAATAATGGGCTGATCTCTGCAACGATGGTACTGGGTGAAAACAATGATAACGTTGAAAATGATAGATTAGATTTTTTAATTAAAAGTGTAAAGGAGGTTATGGTTGATATACAAGCAAATGAAAGTGTAAATGTAGTTATGGCCGATATACAAGCAATTGAAAGAGTTACCCCTGTTATTACAAGTGCATCGAGTACAGATATAGAAATTAATGAAATAATAAATGATGCTTATAATAATTTAATTACCCCTGTTATTACAAATGAATCGAGTACAGATATTGAAATTAATGAAATAATAAACGATGCTTATAATATTTTGATGAGTTAATTTTTGAGAGTAATTCTAGTTTGTTACTTTTACTACTGTAAAAAACAATTAACCTTAAATGTGTCTTTATTAATGTAATTATTTATTGTATATTTATTGCATATTTTGCCACTGTAATATAAAATATTGAATAAAACAATTGACCTTAGATGTGTCTTTATTAAAAAAGTAAGTTTGTAATGTAAGTATTTACAACAACAATAATTAGTGCATAATATAATTATTATAAACATAAGTTACGTTTGACAATGCACAATGACAAATTGGTCGTGAATGATGGTAACATGTTGCTTCCAAGGATGGTAGTGCCGGTTCCTCTTCAACTTCGATAACTTTTTGTGTTAAAATTTTACGGATGAAGTCAGCCTTTTCCTTCCCTTTTACATACACATCCTCATTTGTCGATATTAGACGGTGCAGTATCGTGGAAAACATGTGAGGTGGTGTATGTCCCTCTTCCCATTTAATGCAATGATGATTATGCATCAACCAATTGGCTTGTCGTTGAAACTCTACATCCAAGTTGCTCCAAGGAAACGGCGGTTTAAAAACATAATGTGCCAATTGATTACCGTTGTAAACTGCTAATTCTTTTGGTATAAAACCATTCTTAGAAGATTTGAATCCTTGTACGTCAACTACAACAACCATGCTTCCTCTGTAAAGTGTAGGTTACGACTGATAATGTTCCGTTTTCTAGATGGTATATATATATATATATACTAATCTAACAATAAGACAAAATAGTTTCAGTTTCCCTAACCAGGTTTAAACTTGTCGCACTGCCTTTGTTAATGCGTTGTAGGTAAATAGTCGATCGTGCAAAATCAAACAGTAGGCTATAGTATCTTTTGGGATATTGGCATTAGTTTCAAATTCGATTCGCAGTACCACCGATTTGGAATTCAAACCTTCTTTTTGATTTGAGCAATCGACAACGATTAAAGGAGCGATTTCTTTAAATTCTTTTCGGTTTAGTACAGGTCGATTTTCTGTGCCATAGTAAGACGATTGAAACTTTGCGTACATGTCGTATAATGTGGCGTACCGATTATTTCCATAATTAATGTTTAAATTATCATAAGGATAACGTTCCGTATTGAGAAACACACGTACATTTTTAATGTCACAGTGATCAAATTGGCTCATATCTTTACTAACTTGCCCATCTCGATTTGTTTGAAAACCGATGATGATATATCGAGGTGTTTCCAAACTGGTTGTCGTCTTTATAGCCCATGTATGTTTATCCGTTTGTGGAAGAGCTGGGTATAGGTGTGTTTCCCAACTTCTAAACGCGATTTGGGTCTCCGAATTTTTATCAATGTATTTTGTTAAAGCCAATTCTTCCGCAAGTGCTGGAATGATGTGAGGTACTTTCCAATGGATCTTCTCAATGTCTACTTTAAGAGCTTCATCCGCAACTGTGGATATTACAGCATCGTCATCTGCATTGCTTCGTATGAGAACAAGTTCCTGTCGTATATTTAATATCACTTTTCTATAGTCCTCGGCAAATCCCAATAGAAGCTTTAGCGGTATGCAAATGTTGAAATGACCTGTTGGGTTTGTAATTGTACTAGTACTGGTCGGGAACCATCCGCAATTTTGATAACGCGTATTATCACTAGGAGTTAAGGATACTAAAGCCTTCATAGTTGATGATAACCCTGCTTTAGTTATGGAGTCGACGACTATCCCGTTTATTTCATAGCGAATTTCACTAAAAAGGAATGCAACGCCATTATTTACAAATTTTGCGTTAAGTGATGCAGTCCCATCTTGCCGCAGTAATCTTCCCTCAATGTAGAGGTGACTTTCTGAGGGAAGAGTGCACATGTCTTCCTGTATTGGAATTCTAATTTCATCATTATTTCCAAATCTCGTAGTGTACGGTTGGTGTGTATGATATTCATAATTTATTATACTGTTGTCCACTAACACTTTTTCGTTTACGTCTAATATATTCATTTTAAAATGGTAAAACCCAAAGATTTTAGAAAAGCCTTATTGGTAGCTGTTAACGGTTTGGTTGTTGGACGTTTACTAATCTTTAACCTAGCAACCTTGGGTCTTTTATTTTGTTCATGTTTACATCCACATCGATTATATAATTTCACCATTATCCACTTTTCTTGAGGTGCAATCCTATCGTGATTACTTCTCCGTTGAAATTGACAACAGCACCGTCTTGATCGAGTATTCTAAGAGTTATGTTGGAAATGGTGGTAACGTTTATTGGTAAATAAATAACATTTTGTGGACACTCTATTATCTTATAACCTGCAGGAACGTTTGGGAAGAACTGGTAAATGATGTGGTCAGGTGAACCGTTCTTATAGTTGCCCGTTGTAATGTTGCACTCGACCAGTAACGAATTAATGTGCAAAATATCAACAGGATTTGTTGCAGTATGTGTAATTTTTGGAGGGAGAATAATTTTTTCAAATCCCAAGAGCGATCCGATTGAATTAGGACTTGTAAAATCTATTTGTTGTGTTGACTTAATGGTAGCCCTAAGCGTATTGTTGTTAGCGAGCAGATCTACAAATCCTCCAAATTTTGCAACCTCGCGTTTTATATATTTATCCAAATCAGCTACTTCATAACAACCGGGTGGAATTTCTATAGTCGTTTGTCCAAACTGAAATTGATTATTAGCGGATGTTACGTTTTGTATTGTGTTGTACGTTTCGAAATTTGTTAAACCCAAAACGTATTCTTTGTCACTATGGAGAAATATAGGTGGATTAAAATCTGCCGTTAACAAAGGTTTAGTTCCAGTGAAAGAAAATGTGAACGACATGTCGATTGCTTTGTAACTGAATCACATCACCTTGCGTTGTTGTATAAAAAACGTAGCACTAAATGTCCACAATTGTAAGTATTGAGTGCTTGTAGCTGGTCATAATTGTATTCAATTGTAATTCCGCTACCAACCCCTCGAAAATAACGGACGAGTTCTAATGGTGGTTTCACATTACCAACACTATCAAAATACAAGACGTGTTTACCACGTTTGATGTATGCCGTCCAATGTGTACCTTCATTCTCCTTATCATCTAGATTGATGATTCCACATTCGTTTTGACGTACAGATGATGGTAAACTGTTGCGCATGTAAATGCCTCGAAAATCTGGTATTTTTAGCATTTTGACATATTTGGTAAGGTCCACGTCCGTTAATGCGCGATGTGGTAGCTTCACTGGGAGTTTTTTTGATACGGGTTTAAATATAGTCCCAGCCCCTTTTTGTATGGTTTCAGATAAAGACCTTTTCCAATGGCGGCGGCCTCCATCGCTTGATTATGTCGTTTCGTCTCTTCTAAAGCTTTGCTAGCATCTTTTGCAGAATTTACTGCTTTTGCTATGGCTGCTGCTCCTCCACCTAAGGAACCAAGGGCGCCCAACGCTGCAAACAGTGGAATAAGGGGTAGAAATCCACCTGTCTTAGGTAGTGGTAAAATTCGTTGTTTTGGGGGACGTATTTTCTTTTTCTTCAATGCACCGAGAGCTCTTCGGACGGTTGTTTGTAAATTGGAATGTATTTTACCACCTATACGTTTTCTAGCTAATTTGATAGCGTTATTGAAAGTAATAGGAGCGTTCCGTTTTCTCTTTTCCTTTGTACCCATTCCGAATGTTCTCTTTCCCTTCATTGCACCTGCGACAGTAAGAGCGGCTGCCTTTTCACCAAAACTGGCGTCTTTGGAGCGAAATCTAGTCCACGCTTTCTGTTGTAGTACCTTGTCCGCCTTATGACGGTCACTTAACTCTGTAGACTTTGAGTATGCAATATCATGTTCCTTACAAGCTTCGTCTAAAGGGTTGACTCCTGTGTCACCACGTGCCAGGCGCTTCTGTAATCGTGTTCCTGGACCACAATATCGATATCCGGGCAAATGCAACTCTACAGGTAATTTATTTATAAGAGTATTAAGGACTCCTTTGCCCTTTCGGTTAGCTTTATGAATTTTCTGAGAATAAACCTTCATGGATAGGTGTTGCTCCTGCAAGGAGTTTATTTAATATGCGAATCGCACACACACTTTTCCCAATTATATAGCCTCGTATATATACGTGGTGAGCAAGACAACAACCTCTCAGTATCACAATGACTACAATCCGCTTTATGCCTCAACTTATACAATTACCTATAAAAAACTACGATTCGTATTCTACAGAAACGCAATATCCAAAACATAGTGACCTGTTGCAGGGGGGATGTAGGAGAGGATTAATAGTAGGTCCTTCAGGATGTGGAAAAACTAATGTTATGATAGCGTTATTAGAACATCCGAATGGTTTGCGGTTTGAAAACGTGTATGTGTACAGCAAGTCCCTATATCAACCAAAATATGAGTACCTTCGTAAACTACTACTGCCACTGAAGGGTATTGGATTTTATGAATACGATGATAGTTCCGATGTCATACCTCCTAACTTGGCTCGGAAGAATTCGGTTATGATCTTTGATGATGTAGCGTGTCATAAACAGAATGAAATACGTGAACATTTCTGTTTCGGTAGACATCAAAATAATGACTGTTTCTACTTATGCCAAACGTACTCCTCGATTCCAAAACAACTGATCCGCGACAACGCAAACTTAATTATATTATTTCAGCAAGACCTAACCAACTTAAAGCACGTGTACGACGATCACGTTAATGTAGATATGTCTTTTGATCAATTTAAAGAAATTTGTCATCATTGTTGGAGTCAAAAGCATGGATTTCTAGTACTCGATAAAATAAGTGACATTACCGCTGGCCGATATAGAAAAGGATTCGATTGTTACATATCCCTATAAATACATCCATTATGTTTCGTCTATCGTAGTTATCATGGAAAAGCGTTTGGCAAAAGACCTGCTACTTGCTCGCAAATCTGTCAAACAGAAATATGACAGTTTGAAGCAGGATATGGCGGTTACAGAACGCATGGTAGAGCAACACTTTAAACCCATTACCCAACCGCTAAAACAACTATTGACAGTTACTAAGTTAGATACCGTCAAAACAGAACTACCAAGTGTCAAACGTCAATCACCAATATTTGCCCAACAAACTCCGAGAACTTCCACTCCCCAAAAGGTGGCAAGAAACCTTTTTTCTATCGATGAACCCAGTGTTTTGCATGAGCCTAGCATTTTAGAAGA